GCTTGGTTTGGCGCCCCCTCGCCACGAAAAATACGAGGGAAGACTCGCCGTAATGGGTAATCATAATGTAGGTTGTTATTAGGTCTTCATATACATATTTGTTCATTTACATTTCATTAACACTCATAACATCTCATGCTATATAATAAATATTATGTTCGAATACCCTGTTTCTTTTACCTTCAGCTACCCTTGAACTATTTACCTGTTGGAATATTTCCTCTCGCAAACCATCAAGCCAAGCCAACCATTATAATATCCCTTCTGCCTACTCAACCCATCAAACTTTACTTTTACTAAAGAATAATAATAATGGAGTTCCCATAACTGAATAATCTGAAATGAGTGATATAAATATGACAAGTAAAATTGAAGATGACAAATTTCATAAAGTATGCAGGTGAATCAACATGATTTTTAACAATTCAAAAGTGGAGTTCATAAAAACTAATTATTCTTCTAAATAACTACTATTAGTGAGCTGAGTAGAATCTCAGAATCAGATGTCATCAAAATAAAGTAATTTTAGTAATCAAAGTTTTATGATGTTGCTTCTATGTTGGTAAGAGTTTTTAAGTTGGCAACTTGAAGCAGTCTTCCATTGAAATGAAATGTCGAACAACTCGAGTGAGTTAGAAACATAGATCAACTCGATTACATGTTTCATTGGCCAAAATCTGTATCATAAGGAAAATCCGTGCTAAAATAAACAATATTAAGAAATCGGTAGTAGATATCCAATTCACGTATTGTAATACGAGAGAAGAAAAACAAGTGTACTGCACCCTTGTGAAAGAAATGCTTTCCTGTACTTTCTTGTCGCAAAAATTCGATATGGCAAACATTAGGAAAACGAATGTCAATAATACCATATCTCTGGAACTAGTGTGGGCAATGTCAATAACTAATCTCAAACTAATATTTTGATATGTAGAAAAATTACTGAATATTTTCTTGATGAAAGTTTTTTTCAGTCATCCAAAATGGTTAGAGATATCCTGGATTTGTTCACATATTCGAGATATCTATGAAATTTTTTTTGTAATCCAATCAGTAACCGACTCAAACAAGAACAATAAGAAAGTCACCCTGTATATCGGTCAATAGCAGTTTTTTACATTGTACCATTATATAAAATCAAAAATATAAAACAACTTTCAAAGACCTTCAAGCAAATAGTCACAATTTTTCGTGAAACAACTATTTTTTTGCTACCATTTGAACGTGTATGGTGATATTTTATAATTTGATCCCTGGCCTTCCATTCAACTCTTTTGTTGAAATAGTTCAGTTAGATTACTACAAACTGAATTTGTGGGGTTCAATCAATATTATTTTTCAAATAAATAATAATAATGAAAGACTATACAGAGTGCACATATAAGTGTGATAGGTTTTTGACTTCGAAACATCACTATTTGAGTCAACTCACCTTGATAAATTATTGTATAATTATGTATTCCTCACTGCAGCTATGCGATATATTTTTATCATTCTTGAGAGTCGAAGAAGTATTCACAATCAAAAATCAAATATACTGGCGTGCATAAAATTTATGTATTTCGGGCATAACTTGCCTTTATGGACCTTGGCGTGTTAATAGCCCTCGCTATTTTACGCCCTTGATTCAAAAATACCTATTATGGTATATCCATCAACCTCAAAAACTCACGATATTCCACAAACAATATGAACATGGAACATTAGAAGTTTGCAGGGTATTTATTATCTTCCCGAAAACTCATCATCACGTGACCTAAAGAGGCAATAGCTTTGTTCAGTAGTCCGACTAGCAAATTAAAAAAAAAAATTGGATGAAACCCCACAACCTTAGGACTCAGAGGGGTTGATCAAATTACAAATTGTTGGTTGATTACTATATACTAGCATAGTTGTTTGAAATGTTCACAAGACCACGTGGAATAAATAATAAGTGACTAAGAGGCCCAAATCAAATTGACACAAAATACTGTTCAACGAGAAAATAACACTATGTTATCTTATTCACGGGCGAAACTGAAATTTCAAATGAAATTGTATAAAGACCTGGTTGATTAAGGATTATCACAGTACCCAAAATGAAATGAAAAACTTTGAATCAGTATCGATTATTGTCAGCTTCCTTATACATTGACTAGAATTACCACATTGAAATATTTTTTTGTCTATTTACATCAAATTCCATCCACATAAGTTATAATATGTATGAATCTAACTATTCGTTGTAGACTTGATCAAAATACTATAGAAGAAACATCTTTATACAGAAAAGTATCATCAAGTTAGAATATCGATTGAAATTGAAATACAAGTTAACACATTTATAGAAAGGGCTTCGATACTATCCAAATTGCTGGTAATCGCTAAAAAGCGTAATAATTGCTGGTGCTAAATGACCTATTTGAATTCAAGTTTATTCATTCACTAACTTGATCCGCTGAAAGAATCATTGAAATGGTGTACACAATTCCAAAACGTATACAGTAAAACGGGCAAAATTTATAACTTTGACATCAGTTTCCTTTTGAACCTTTCGCGCGATTCCGATTATTCATCCTCGAATTATAGGTTATTTTTTCAGGAATACATTACATAAATCATTATTGTTCTGGAACGAAGAATGACATCGAAGTGATCAATTGGAGTACCAATTTGGTGAAACTTCAACACCAATGGGGAAGTTTAATTCAGATGAATTTTCATTAAATAACATCGACTCCTCAGTTTTATGTACACGCTGTATAGAAGTCCAAGTAGTTTTTATTTTCAAATTGAAGCAATGTCTTTTCGGAGCAGCAAAGTGTGACGTACATTCTGAATGAAGTCTGAACATAGCTGATGATGAAGAATATAGCTAGCAAATATCTAACGAATCAAAAACGAATGAAAAAATAGAAGAAAAAGAAGACGAAGACAACTTGGCGTCGTTGTTGATTATAACATGAAAACTAACGATGATAAACTAACAAAACAACTATAAACTGTAGACATAGGCTAGTGAATAACTAGAGATCACAATTCAACACAAGTAGAACTGATCAACAAAACACATAACCACAAAATCAATTCAGCTCTCGGTGTGCCTGTTTGTTTTTTGTGTGATACGGGCGGGCACAAAGTATTATGCGCTTTTGCAAAATATAATCTGCAACTTTCCTAGCAAATAACGAATTCATTTGAATAAAATGATTCACAAGTTATGATTATCATTTTGTAATCAATATAAATAAATTTAAAAATAATAAATACTATTACACAATATCATAATTTATCTTCATTAGTAATCAAGTGCATCCAACAAATGAGAGATTTCGGAAAATTATTCGTAATACTGGACGAAGTAGGATTGAAAAACCTAATAGTTATAATGTTTTCAATGAACAATTTCCGCGAATCAAGACATATTGATGATGTCGGCAACGTCGTACTGACACAGGGAATCGTGTGAATGTGGCTTTCTCTTAAAGTACGTTATAGGAATGGTGAAGGAGTCAAGTTCCTTTTCCGTTTATGAAAGTGAAAAAATACGTATACATTATATGTTTTAAAACTTCACAGTGGAATGAAAACCTCAATTGTATGATCCTCAAACAAAGTTTTTTGATGATTGTCAAATAAACGTCTTTCGTCGCAAATCGAGTTGGATTTTTATTAAAGAAAGAACATTGTGACCGCCCGAATACAGAATTCAGACATCAATATTGGAAACTTTGCCTGTGTATGAATGCGGAGCGAGAAGAATTTCAATAAATCCCTGATAAATCACACAAGAAATGCAAAAAAAAAACTGTAATGACCGAAGCTTTCTAATATCAGTTTAATTCGAGAATGGGTATTAGCATATGGCTCAGACTCAGAGCAACGATAATTAGCATCTAGAACAAGAAAGTAATGACGTATCAATGACGTCCCAAGATCACATTTGGTAAAACTTGGTCAGTAACGTCACACCACCAAATAGTGGCGTCACTGTGACAATGTTTCTATCTCTCTGATCAATCATACATCAAATGAAACTATATAATTATAGTGATTGTATCATGGAACAGCTTTCAGTTATTAAATATGACTTCAAGCTGAGAAATAATCAGGAAATATGCAATATAGGTTATCATGAAAACGTATAGCGAAATCGTTGAAATTGATAATTTCCAGGTAATTATCATTACCATTAGTTTTATTATTTCATTGGTATTCCACATACATTGTATATATAATATAATGGTTATTCGTAGACAAAGAGGACCAAAAGGAAACTGAATGGCATTTCTACTGCAGACATCCCTATTCAATGATTTTTAGGAGTACGATTCCTTGTGTGTCTTTAATATCAAAATTTATCGTCATTGGGGAAGCTTACGTTCTATTCACCAACAAGACGAACGTTGCTTCCTTCTCTGAGCCGATTTTTGAAACATTGTATAAATTCGAATCAAAAGGAAGAGTCTATGATTTTTACAGAATACGGGTATTCGTAGGTATTGGGTACTTTATCTGCAATATCATCCTAAAAAACACTGCATAATTCAGGTGATAGTATCATTGAATAGCTTTCAATTATTGATTCGACTCAAGTAAGGACTAAACAGGGAATGCCTACTTGATTATTCAATATAGGTAATTATGAAAATGTATATTAAAATCTCTGAAAGCCCAATTGATTATTTCAGATAATTATTATTATTAGTATTATTTTTATTGTAATAGTACTTTACATACATTGTATATGTAATGGTATAAATTCTAAGATTCGGCTCATATTATCGCCCTAACTTATTTGAAAAAGGCATTTTGAAAAATAATTTCATATTCAGATTATGAGTTACATAGATAAATTCTGTTTTTCATTACTGTTAGAACATCAGCCTAGGTTTATAGGTAAACACTGAATAAGCTTGACTCGAAACCACACAATTTCTACAATAGTTTTCGAGGGTGAACTACATACATTTTTACAGTGACTCTTTCGATGTTGGTCCATTATAAATTTGATATTCTCTTCAGCGCTGGGCATTTTTCGATCGGACAGCAGCTTTTTTAGTCGGTGTTTGTGCCGCTGTTGCTTTCGAATACGTTTTCAAATTCTTCCTTTCCTTCTGAACAGTCGTACGATGCGGTTCTTCTTTGTCCAGTTCTGCCATTGCTTCTTGGATCGCTTTTTCTAGTTGGCTATTCAATTTGCGACTTCTGAAAACAGAATTGACAGCTTTATATATCTAGGGAGCATTATCAGACCAGTGCTGAAGCGTTTGAGAATGGTATATAAATAGTAAAAAAAAATTATGGTAGGATGAAACCCATTGGAAAAGGAAGGGAATATAACAAAAATGGGAAAATAATTTTCGGGCGATTTGAGGTCGGAAAGTGGAATTATTAGAAATCTGAAATTTTTGTTCAAACGGTTTCAACTAGGACGTTTTTAAGTCACTTTTTCATTAATAGTTCTTGTTTCACAATACTCAGCTTTGATTCTTCTTATGGGCGCCATAATAAATTTTTGCATTCTTGAAGTCTTCAAATACTATCTGTAGGTTGATCAGTATCAGTATTAGAGCAAAATATCTGTAGTGTGTGACTGTGCTTGAAATTTCCCCATTAACAAACATAAGAGAAAATTGTAGTCTTTACTCAGTGGCACTTCAGTCTGAGGGATGTTTGGAGAAGAGGAATAAATAATATAAGAATGGAAAATGATTATTGGGTTGACTTCTCCGGTTTTGTATTCTTGCACTTTTCACTGAAAGAAGTTGTGAGAAGAATGTGCGAGTTAGTGTTTGGAAAATACAGTAACAGAAGTTAACAAATTCTTTGTAAAAAAGTGCCTGTAGAATGCCATAGTCAAAATCTTGTAGGTTTCTTTGGTTTTTGCTTGCAAAAAATAAAAATGGAACTAATGAAATGTTCGTTTGTCTCCAAGTTTCCAATTTTCCTAGCTAAAATGGCCCCAGAAAATTCATTTTCAGATAATTATTCAGCAAACAAATGACTGAAATCCCCATGATGAAGCAAAAAAACATACAGGGTGTTTCATTGCTAATTGGAAATAATTTCACCAAATCACCTAGATGAAATTGGTCTTGTGTTTGAGTTACAGGGCATATTATTCAGAAGGCGAGTGACTGATTGATATCTCCCATATATTTCGCCACTGGCAGAATTGCAATTTTATCACAATTTTTGAGATGACATCATTTTTTCTCGCAATATTTTCAGTTTAACATAAAGCTGCACAATCATTTTTTAACGTATTATTCTTTTCTCCTGTGGGAGTAAAATGCCAACTTTATTTCCTGAAATGATTGAACAAACGCATACTTTCGATTCAGTGGGTAATTCAATAAAATTATTTCAATAGGTTGTATACCGTTCATGTGTTCTGGATATCCCTAAATTGTCTAAGGTGAGCTCAAATGGGCTATGATACCTAGTGAGTTGATAGAAATTCTCCATTATGTGACAATGACTTTTGACACAGCAAAATAAGTTTTGCAATTATAACAATGAAATCAGGTTTGTGACACAAAAAAAAATTAAATTATCTACGAAAATTACTAGTACCTACGGAAAATCTACTCATGCAGTTCATACTAATTTCAAGCATAACTACCAAACTGTTTTCTTTGCGATTATTCATTATAAATCACAATTTCACTAGTTTTTTGCCACCGTTGGAAAATCATCCATTTTTCGTCACGTATGAACTCAAGAGTGTCTTCGCATTGTTTCGTTGGACTTGAAGAAATATAAGACACATTTTTGTTATAAAAAAATGTATATTCATGACAATTTTCCAAAACTTCTAGGTTTGGAGTGAATTGTCCTTGCTGATTCTCAATGAATAAAATAATGTACAAGGTCTGAGGTCAGGTTAGGTTAGGTCACTGAGGTCGTCCGGCACTGGTATCTAAAAAGACAATATTTTTTCTACTTTTTCATAAAGAAATCAAATCACGCTCACACGAGCCCTGAGGAGTCTATGGAATCTGACACATTAGGCTAATTTCTGAAGCTATAAAAAGAAAATCGGAGATACCGCCGCAGGACAACCTACATACGAACACCAACTTGTTGAGATGATGTCGAATTTTTATGGATGAACTTGGTGGTTAACATAAATGATTGGTGTTTTTCTTGATGACACGAATTCAAGAAGAAAAATATAGTTTCAAAATAACTATGACGTGATCAATGTTTTTCATAACAACGAAAACAGATAAACGTAAACTAAACAAACATGTATTCTAATAATTATAAACTTCTAGTTATATTGATTTCTCTATTTTGAATGCGACGATACACTACACCTTTTTCAGTTGTATTACAGAAAGCAACAATTGAATTTCAGAATAGTCACTTGTATCTCAGAAAATATCAATTGTATTTCATGAAAGTCAAATGAATTTCAGTAAGCAACTATTATATTTCAGGGCAGGACATTAACAGTTGTCATACTGTTTCCGAACTTTTATCTAACTAATGCCATCCAGTGACTAGTTAGTTCCATTTCAGAAAATACTAGTTGTACGTCAGAGAAGTAGAATAAACTTTAGAAAGTGTCAATTGTATTTCAGAATAGTCACTTGTAATTCAGCATGGATCAATTATTGTATTTCAATATTGTGAATTGATGTTATCGATAGTTTTTCAGAAAAATTATTTGAATTTCAGAAAATCCCAAATAATATATAGAAATTTGATACAGTGGCAGTGTTGTTTGGGGACTCTGAGGGCTTGCTTTTGTTGATGAAAACTGTGTTTATAATATTGAATATTATATCGAATAACCTCACGTTACGAAACGACTTCTTATTATGTTACAATACATGAAAGTCAATTCATCATACACATACACACATTTATAAAAATTCCGATTTATTAGATACATAAGTACAGTGTGACGAACTCGAGATGAAGACACTCCTGTATTTCAGTAATTTTTGAGAGCAGAGATTTGATTTTTGGTAGTCATAGACGTTCATGGGTCGCACTTTTCACAATACTCAGTCCGAGTGACAGTCTCAAACCCAGCCTACTGCGATCCCACGAAAGGGGCAAATTCTCGATATTTTGCTTCTCATTGGAGATACTAAAGAATGTTATTTGAAAAAGTTCGATTTTGACCCTACATACCGAATTTCAATGCAAAAATCGATTTTTGATTGCGCGAGTTATCCCCACACTTCGTGATTTCATTCATTCATCTGTGATTGGCGTTTAGGATTGTCGGTGTATACTTTTCAATGATTCGCAAATGAATCGCGGTGTCTATCTATAATTAGTCTAAGATTGCTCCCGACATCTTCGAACTAACGTTCTCCATCTCTTTCTAGAAGAGCGGGCCCTCTGCCGGATGCCACACTAACTCGCCCACTGTGAAGGGCTTCGTTTCTGGATATTTATTGATATTTTATGATATTGTATTAACGTATAATATCGACCAGCTGTAATCGTGAATGAACTTAATGAACAAGGTGCAAACAAACATGTGAGCACCTTTTTATCTACTTGTCACCTCTGCCTGAATATATAATGAATTGCTGAATATAGATAGGTATACAGTGCTTCTCAAATGTACCCTCTCCTACACAAATTCAAAAACTTGGACAATTACAAAAACGTTGATAGGGAGACTAACAAAAACGTCTAGATTATTTGACAACTATCTAGAGGCGAAGCTTGAATTCTGAATTTTAGTATTAACTGATTTAATTCATCACAGCTTTGCGTTTTTTCAATGCGATTTGCCAAAACTGCCATGAACACAAACAAAATTACTATCAATGAATAGTTTTTTATCTACCTTTTTGAAGAGGTGTCGCTTGCCGTCAGGTTCCATTTGAAAGTATTGGTCACAATGGCCTTGTGACGAAATCTTTGTCGATTTCGTCATCTATCATCACTAGCAGGGAAGTTTACAACCTTTGATATTCAATTTCCAAATTTCACTTGATCATGTATAATCGTTCCAGTGATAAGAGGTGAGGGGGCACTTTTGAGTAGCACAATATGTCTTTGAATTGTCGCTTTTGTAATAAATATGAGGACTCAACCAAATTAAAAATTGAGAAAATGAATGCACTCAGAAAGTAGAAGGTTATTTTGAATTAGGACAGTAAACATCTAGGTATATGAACTATAAATATCTAAATGTCACGTGCTTACGAGGCATAGATAGAATTTTATAATCACCAATACCAATACGTGGATGAACTCTATTTGGGAATCAAAATATTGCATTAAATACAAAATGAATCGCGGTTTCCTTTATAGTTAGTTTTAGATTGCTCCCGACCCGCTCGACTCACGTTCTCCATTTCTTTCTAGCGCGATGATGAGCCTCGAGGCCTTCTGTCAGTGTCTGCAACCTCTCTCTCTCCATGACGGCGACCGGCTTCTCCGTGCCGAACCACTTGACTAAGACGAGCCGGTCGCGAGCCTCGACGATCTTCCCGGGCCAGAAGGGCCGGCCCTCTGCCGGACCCCACACTAACTCGCCCACTGCGAAGGGCTTCGGGAGGTTGGTATGGTCTGTTGGTTCACCTTCGGATGGGTAACTTTTTGGTTTTGGGTGCGCGGTGGCGGTTCGACGACGCGTTAGTTGGATCATTTACGTAGGGGTGGCCCCAAATAATTAGTTGCGCTGAGTTGAATCATGATATATTAATGTATTGACCTGATTTAGCAGAAGAGCATGAGGAATATCGAATCCATAAGTCTATTGATGGCTTAAACGATTCAGGGCTCTCATTTGGTTTGTATGGACTGCTAGTAATAGACGGGAAACACGCTAACATTGTGAAGGATGAAATATATTACTATTCGCATTATTTGCTCAGGCGGAAGTTACAACGACCTCTGCGCTTGCAATGACGATTTCAGATCATTAACGTCATCTTCAGACACTTAAATGACACGTATAATGTTTGATTTGAAATTGGATGCAATCTCGACTTTCACTGGTAGAACCATAGGCTAGAACGGTTAACGGTATCCCCAATCAAAATCTGCCGTGAAACAGCTGACAAAAGAATTACAAGCTGCAGTATAGTGTACCAGCATACTTTGCAAGAATTGTTCTTCAGGAACTGGAAGAAACATGTTGTCCCAAAGGTAAGAAAATTCTATGATTTTTTCACATGTTATTATTCACCTCAATTATTCGAGTGCTTTCTATTTTGTGTACCTATATAGTTGTTATGTTTCATCAATAGATAGTGTTTTTATTCACACCGATAGTTCTACTGTATTCTAATCAATTAATAATTCTTTGACATGTTTTAACCTACGCCGTGACATAAAATTTTCAATAATCTTTCAAAAATGAGATAATTAATTACCTCAGTCCTCAGTGCTCACAATATTGATTTATAGTGATAGGAGCTACAGTATTTCGAAAATCTCGCCTTATTCAGGTGCATATATATTGTCTTCAATATTAATTGTTGGCGTATTTCCCACACATTGTTTATTCAGGCGATTAGCATCCACGTTAGCAAAATACGATCCTGGATTGACTAGGGTTGATAATTGATGATTGGTGTTAAGATGCCTATAGCAGCTTTCAAATGGTTCGACACATCTCGCACGAATTCATAACGTATCCACGAATATGTCAGTATCAATCACAATATTACTGCGAGGTAAACGCTTACGTATCGACAATATTCCAAACTCGATTTTCGATGAACACCTAATGAAAATGCTGAAAGCATGTAATAGCTGCAGCAAAATAATAGATGCATCGAAAGAATCATATAATGCCATAATAAGATCAAAACTCATAAATTGTCCCAATGACTCCCGTTCTTTGGTCCCTCGATAAAGCAGTCGGGAGGAATTTCACTAATAGTTCATTCCCACCACTCTCCAAAGCCAATGACACAACATTAGCAACAACGCCGCAAGAGAAAGCGAACATTTCTGCAGATATGTTAGCAGCAAACTCAACCATGGATTCCCAGTAAAGAGAGACATTCCACCTGTTGAGAGTCAACGCACTGTCAGAAGCATTCTGCTCGGTCTCAAAAGGAATTAGTCCAATGGTCCTGATGAAATTCCACCCATAATTCCCAAAAAATGTGCACCAGAATTGACACCGATTCTTTGCAAGCTATTTTGTTACCATCTCCTACAAATCGGGTATTTTTCCATCTTGCTGGAGAGTTGCTAGAGTCCACCTAATCCCCAAAAAAAAGGACACAAGAGCCTGCCCAACAACTATGGGCTAATTGCCCTGTTATCAGTCATCTCTAAAGTGATGAAGAAAGCCAACAACATTAAGCCCATCGAATATCTAGGAAGCTCAGGATTCATTTATGATAAACAATATGGCTTTCGCCACCGAAGTCAACTGGAGATTTACTTGCCTACGTCACCCATATATGGCAAGCTTCATTAGAAAAACATGGGGAATCTCTGGCTATAACGTTAGATATATCGAAGGCATTCGACCGTGTTTGGCACCAAAGACTGCTTCACAAACTACCAGCATACGGCTTACCACCTCAGCTTTGCCGTCTTTCAGGCAGATCGCTCCATGTGGTGGTGGTGGACGGAGTATGGTCTGATACCATTGTCATCAATTCCGGCGTTCCACAAGGATCCATTTTGGCAACAACATTATTGCTACTTCATATCAACGATCTATTGGGAACAACCACTTGCCCTATCCACAGCATTGCAGACGATAGTACTATCCATACTGCGTTATCTTCTAGAATACCCATTTCTTTCCAGGAAACTAAGAAATCACGATGAAGGCAGGCCAACGCTGTCAATGAAGATCTTGCGGAAATTACAGCCTAGGGAACCAAAAACAACCTACCTCGGGAACCAAAAACGCCACCGAAACTCAAGCGTGTATTTTTTGTAGAGAAGTAGACCTCAGTATGCGTAATATAACAATGTCTGGTCCTATCGTTCCCACCAAGACCAGAATATCTATGCTCGGTATTACCATCAGCAATTCTTGTTCCGTGCGAAAATCTACTTTACACCTCAATAACTACTCATTATCTACAAAGCACAGATACGGCCAGTTTTAGAATAATGTTCTGGTGGTTGATGCTACACTCACCAACTCTTTGACCTCATCAGAACACCGTATAAAAATCGGGAAAATGATCCTCAGAAATCCCTGCTATAATTCCATCACTTGCAATACCAGTCAGACGATAGGCCCAGTCAGCACATCTCTCGTCGTTAACCTTGAAAATTGTCGAACAACACTCTACCAAAACCCGTTCGTCCATAGAACGGCGAAGCTTTGAAATCCTTTACTTATGGAAGTATTCCCAAAAACTTGGAACCTCCAAAAAATTCCAACATCTTCCTCCTCTCCCTATCCTCCCAAAGTACACGCAATGTTCCACGAACATTATAGGAATTTCTTTTCGTGCGCTTCAAGAAATTTAAAAAAAACTAAAGGCGGTCAAGCGTCCTCGACCTGCAATCACTACACACTGGACTGGCAAGTGTAGTTGAAGGCTTTTAGGCCATTCGCACTGCCAGGGAATCCCGAGATTGTTCAATGGCTGGTTTGAAAACTATTTGTACAGTGAAAATATGTCTCAACTAGAATCACTGGATGGTATTAGTTAGATAAGAGTTAGGACACAGAAATTACAACTGTTAGGGTTTTTGAATATTTAGATTCATTGAGTCACACACCTTGCATTGTGACGATAGCACCATAGTCGTTCCGCGATTGAAATATAATTTCATAAGCTATTGAAAAGAAAGCATAAATAAAAATGTCCTGCTGTGTAATAAATTGTGGGAAATCTGAAGGGAATGGATTTTATTTATTTAACTCGCCTGAATAAAAAATTGATTTGAACACAAGCAAAATTTGTGAGGTACATACATTGAAATAAACTTTTTATAAGAGCATATAAGAATGAAATTATATTTTAGGCCCATTTTCAAACAGAAGATTTTAAAATACGTTTGAAAGAATCTGCTGTTCCATTCATTTACAAAACAGGCTAGTTGAAGAGAGAATCCATAATTATCATAACACGAAATGCAAAACAAAACTATCATGAAAAAAGTGGAATTGATTGCAAAATTACGTCAAAGAATTGAATATTTGATAACGAAACTGAGGAGATCAGGTAAAGTGCAACATGATATATCATTGAATGGCGTTTTCAATACCGACCGAATTAGCTATAAGTATATCTATGTGTATCGTTTTGTCATTAAAATGTTGTTCCATGCATTCTTTTCATGTATATATCTGTTCTGCGAACATTGCCGTATCGCTATGAATTGAAGTGGGTGTGAAAATCTAACCTCTAAAATCGTATATGACAATCAGGCGTTATTAGGGCAATTAAAAAGACAAAGAGCAGAATATATGTCTTATTCTTTTATTTACTCAAACCATTATGATATAGTAAATAGAAAAATACAGAAGTTCAGCTGTGTCCGAACTCTTATCTACTAATACCAGCTAGTGACTATAATCCCAACCATTTCAACATTTGATTATACGATAGTATTTATCAGTAACACTTTGATATCAAAGTTTGTGGAGACGGATTTGTTTTCATCCTTATTTTTTCCAATGCTGCATCTACAATGATGTCATTATGCAAAAGTCAAACTCGACTTGTTATATATCAAAAAATCAAACCTTCCGAAATAAAAACTCATGAATACGTAAACTACATAGTACATTACTGGTATCTCTATAAATACATTTGCTGGTAACTTTCGGGATGCGAATGACACAAAATCATGCTTGATAGCCTGCCTATCTAGGATACTGTTCCTATAAGCCCAATCAGCATAGGAAGGCAAGCAACGTGATTATGAGGTGGAGGCGTTGGAATATCCACTGGCATAATCACTATCTAGACCGCTATTTATGTCATATCCCAGCAACGCGAAAACCTCGTTCAAACTTATCGAGTCATGTCTGGAAATAAGAGTGAGTTATAGCGTTTTCCACTGGCAGATTTACACTAGCACAGAGCAAGTAATAGTGGCACTGGCTCGGTTTTTTCATAGAGTGCGTTAGTGCGGTTCCAGCACAGAGCAGTGGAATAGAAATCGAGAGCTGTTGCGACTCTTTTCCTTGTCGTCAGAAATGTCAGAACTGCTTTGTCGATCAAAAACTTAGATTATTGGTAGTACATTTGTTTTCGCAGGTCCACATGAAATGGATTCATCCAACTCTTATGGTTCGTCTGTCAAGAAACAGTTTATGAATGTTCATTATTAATGATGTTTAATTCAATGTCGACAATAGTGATTTAGCATTGAAGTGCCGTCTACGAAGTTAGTATTTTTCATCTGTTCGGATAGTCAGGCAGCACTCAAGGCTATCTGTCATCCCAGACCAAGCCCAGCATCGGTACAGGAATGTGGAAATCCCTTTGAGATATTAGTGGAAAAGGAAGTTGAACTGGTATGGGTCCCGGGTCGCAGTGGGATGCCCGGAATCGAAACAGCAGAGTACAACCCCACTTGCCCAGATGTGGGGAAGACGAAGGAAGGTCACTCTATTTTCTCGATGAGTGCGAGGCGTACGG